GCAAATTCAAAAATCAAAAGCAAGAAGAGACTTCCTTCCTTTCCCCCTCGGTATTTTTCTACTGTATTGACACTGTGTTTGACAAACAACTTTAAATAACCTTCAAGACTGTATCAGCTACCAGGTCTTAGTAATGAGGGGAAAATCAGGCAAGCCAGACCAAGACATGACTAGTTGTAAATCAAAAAAAAATTGGCAGTCTTATCAAAAACCATCCATATCTCTGTTTTCTCTCTGGCTGCTGGGTGTTGCATTCAGTCCATCGATTAATGTGTCAGTGCTTAACTCAGGCTGCCAAGCTGTGACACCTGCAGCGAGGCAGCTCGCTGTCTGTGCAGCCCTGGGGCTTAACTTGCTGCCTGTATGAGCCGGGACTGCTCGGACGAGGGGAGGCAGCTGGGAGGTGGACAGAGCAGGCTGGCAAGCATTGCTTTGCCACCTCCTCCGTGCTGGCTCCAGCTAGCTACAAGTGTGCAAATGTTTGAGGTAACCTTGGATTTCTGGCACTGTTGACTCTGCTTATCAGCGACCTGTTAGGTAATAAGGATGTGCAGCAATAGCTGCATTTACCTAGAGGTTAAAGGAACTCATGCTGTTCTCAACCCAGAACAGTAACGGGATGGTTTTCTGGTGGAGTGAGACCAAATTCTGGTACAACTTCAGTCTCCTCTGACCTGGGACAAACGGTTCCTGTCCTGCCAAGGCTGCCCCGTGGCAGCATTTCCCAGTCCCTGCCAATCCTCCTTCCTCCTCCCACCATGGTGACTGACCAGCATCAGCAGCTCCCCAAGTAGATATTTTGTTTTTACATTAACTTCTGTGAGCCTCACAGAGACATCTCATGCTGTCACGCCTCAGTAGTAATAATTCAGTGCACAATAAAGAAAAGAGTAAATCTACAAATGGGCTGCCAGCCATTTCCTTTTGTCAGTGTACAGAATTCTTCAAAGCTAGTAACATCTCTAACCAGTAAGTAGCAAGATTCAACAAGCCTGCAATAATGTACTATAATGCAATAATGTACTAACATTATCATGTCTCAAGTGACATGAGTAGCATGAAGTTAGATACCTGTGACCTTTCTGACACAGGAAAAATACTAGTAAATGTAGCTGAATGCATTTTTTCACCAGACTCTAAGGAACAGTTGGTATATGGATGGTGGAAATAGGCATTTTTCATAATAATCCCATGTTTGAAATGTCCTGACCTTAGAAATATACTATAAAATTAGTTCCAGGAGAAGAAACCTAGCAAAGATAATAGATGCTTATTTTCTTTATCAGAATCCCTCAATTATGAAAACGTGACAAATAGGTAATACCACTAGGCTGAGCTGAATTAATATGTGTTTAAAATGAATGAAAAATATATCCCCTTCCCAGTTAGAAAAAAAATCACACAGTACAGGTACTCAAAAAATGAAATACATCTCTGGCTTTGAAATTATTGTTGTCTTTCTACAGCAGCTTCTTGAAAATGTCATGTAAGATTAGATCTGTACGCCATTGTGTTGGTAAGCATACGAACCCCCTGCAAAGGGCGGTCTTCATTCCAAGAGCTTGCAGTCTCAGGGAAGGTTTTCAAAGACAACTGCTCATTTGAATTACCTTTTAAAAAGATCTTACTTTCAGAAAGTGCTGGGTACGTACTGTTAGAAAACCAGGGTCCTTAGAGGAGTCTCCAGCTGGGTACCAAAAATTATATAGGTAATGAGGAAGAATAAGTGCTTCTAAAACCCTGTCCTCAAAAGACAAAGTGAGAAGAAACAGGCTAGATGACCACTAAATCCTCAGTTTGCTCACCCTAAATGCAGAGCTTAACAGAATTACTACTGTTCCCTTGGTCAGCGCCTCCGGTTGTGTCCAGACTGGCTCTGCTCGGTGTCCTGCATGGCTTGAAGTGGTTGTGCTCCCTCTGCGGTGTGGATGGAGCTCAGGTTAGGATCAGTCCCCGTTTCTCCTCATCCACGGGCTTCTGTCTGAAGGGCCAGCTGGCTCGTTTCAAACTGAAGCACAAGCCAATGGCTGAGATAACGTGGATGACTGGGGAATTTCCGCACAAGTGCAATCTTGAGGCCTAACCTGATATAATTAGCCAGTTTATCCATTTTATTTTAATCCTGCAACTCTGACTAGAAAAGGTATTTTCCATTGCTTGGGAGAGCTTTTCAAATTTTCCCTTGTTTGCAGTAGATGAGTTATTTCACCTCAAAAAAAGTCCTGTTTCTCCTTTATGAGACAGGCCCATCTCTGTTGATGCTACACAGGTGGGACATATCCTTCAGTTCACCTGGAATCAAAACCACTTTTGAGGTGAAGTACCAGTTTTCCTCCCTCCAAGTTTAAAACCTCCCCCCAGATTCCCCTCTTTATCTTTAAACCTGCTTAATGTCACCATTGTTTTCTTTTCTGTCCTGGGGGATGCAGTCAGTTATCTGTCTAGACCAGCTGAAGGCTCAAAATCTTCCCATTCATTCTTCCATGGAATAAAACAGTTGCTGGTTTCCAAACGTGCATCTTTCTCAGGCCACTACTGCCATGGGTATCTGATGTAGCAGGTGACAGTGGGTGGTGGTGGGATCGTCACACTAGACAACCTTGAGAATAAAAGCAAGGCAGCTATAAAAACAGAAATCAAAAGTAGCACTGTAATCATGTGAATATGTCCACATAAGGACAGAAGTAGCTTTTCGTAGGACCTATTACACTGAGGAGTAAAGTGCTCACAGCAGGATGTGGGGGTTTTTTAAATCTTATTGTACTGGGTCTGGCTGAACTGGAATTGGTTTTCCCCTACAGCAGCCCTCACGGTGCTGTGGTTTATGCTGGGAGCTGGCAGGGTGTTGGCAGCACCCTGGTGTCGCAGCTACTGCTGAGCAGTGCTTACACAGCACCAAGGCTCTTTCTGATATTTCCCCCAGTGGGACGGTGTGGGCGAGATCTTGGGAGGGGACACAGCCAGGACAGCTGACCCGAACTGACCAAAGGGATATTCCATACCATATGATGTCTGCTCAGTATAAAGCTGGGAGAAAGGAGGAAGGGGGTGGGGTCACCCTTGGTCCTCCGGGGCAACCGCTACGCGTATGGGAGCCCTGCTCCCGAGAAGGCCCCATATCACCTGTCCAGGGGAAGTAGAGACTAAATCTGTTTGCTTTTGCTTCTGTGTGCGGACCTTTGCTTCATTTTGCTTATATTAAAACTGCTTTTGTTTCACCCACAAGGGTTGGTTTATCTTCTTTCCCCTCTTTGCCCTGTTGAGAAAACAAGGGGAAAAAGGGGAGGGGGGGAAGTGATAGAGCAACCTGGTGGATACCTGGCATTTAGCCAGAGTCAAACCATCACACTTATTCAGCATTCTTCCAGCACCTACTGATTGAATATCCCATCCTTTCCCTGCTTGATCTGACCTTCAGGTGCATTGCTACAAGAGTTTGGGGTTTGGGAGAGGCAATTATGGGCAAACTGACAGTCTGGCAGAGCCAGTCAGCCCACACCCTGCAGAGAAGAGCCCAGCAGACATGATTTTGAAGGCATGAGAAGTAGAAATCCACTACCAACCTCAGTTTCAGCTGATGTGGATGCTGCCTTGGTAGCATGAATATGCCATTAGCCTCACAACTTGGAATCTGGCCCAAAAAAACCCAACGATCCAGCTCTTGCCACACATGCAAACATGTACATTCATGCAAGCAGGACATGATCTGAAAAGAGTGCAAAGCCCACCCTCATGAGTCCCTTCCCAGCACTGCCCTGGTCAGTGATCTGGTTGGAAAAACTGGTGATGAATGAGATCTCTGTGATAAACAAAGCTGTGTCCAAACATATTGAAACAACATGGTGAACTTGCCTCTGCATGGCTCCTTGGCTCCAAAGGCTAGCAGAAGCCTGTGGTGGGTTCACATGCATTTTCATGGCTACACACTGGATAGATGACTGAACGCCCTTCAGTGTGAGCAGTCCTGCATGGGCACTGGTCTCCTGTTCACAAAGGCAGAGCAGGGAGCACAAATCCCCATCAGAAAATGTATTATCATAACATAATTCAGGCTGGGAGAGATCTCTGGAGACTGTTCCACTCAACTGTGCTCAAAAGCAGGGCCCAAATTAAGTTGTTCAGGGCCTTGTCTGTATGAGTTGTAGATATCTCTGTAGGTGGAGATCACACAACCTGGTCAGGTAACTTGTTCAAAAATTTGACCACTCTCACTAGGAAAAATTTTTTTCCTTTTATCTAACTGGAATCTCTCTTGTTGCATCTTATGTCTGTTACCTCTTGTGCTTTTGCTGTGCATCTCAAAGAAGTGTTAGGTTAGAGGGGAGGTTACAAGTAACCTCCATATAGTCCTCCTTTGTGGTGTGATCACAAAGGCGAAGAATAGCAGCTACCAAAATTGTGTGTGCTTTACTGCTTTTAACAGGGAAAGAGAAACTCTGTACAACCCCCTAATTATCTTACATGGTTTGAAGCTAGGAAGGAAGTGGGTGAGCTGCTTTCATATCTCCTATGCAGCAATGGCCAACTCTCTCCATCCTGGCCAGCAGAAATGATGAGGGAACATCAGCCCCTACTTTGAAATTTGGTGGAGCCTTTCCAGCATTTGGTTATCAAGCCTTCAGCAGTTAATGCAAGCCCAAACAAACAGAAGAGCCTGCTCTCTGGGACCCAGACTAGAGGAAGAGGAAGGAGTGCTTTCATGTGAGGCAATAAAATTCAAACAAGATTTGTTAAATCATGCAGATGATTGCTGATCTGGGCTTTATATTTATCTAAGGAATTGATTAAGCACTGAGTTTTTTGGTTGATGAGTGAAGCTGATTCAAAAAGTACCAGGGTCACAATATATACTCTAGGAGTCTTTTGTCTTTACAGGAGAAGTACATTTACTCAGCTCAAACATGACTTTTTTTTTTAATTTTAGCTGAAATACATAGTATTTTCTTTGTGCTGTTCTGCACTCAGTGACTGGTTTTGGTCTTCTCTTTTGTTTCTTACAGCCCCAGCAGAGAGCTCTCCATAAACATTTCTGGCCTCTGAAGCTGCTGTCCTGCCACTTGATATGAAAGTGAACTTTCCTTGATGAAAAAGGCATAATAAATAGCACTGCCAGAAGGTGACCATGGAGGATTGAAGACGAAGTAAAATCAGTCCACTCAAGATGATGCATTCTGGGAAGACCTGGTTTGCTGTGGAGTAAAAATGTGGTGCATAATATCCAGTGCTAATTTGTTGAAAATGGTCATTGACAGACCTTTAGCTGGAAAATTTCTTCCAGTTTTCATCACTGTGCATAACTTTTTGAGTTCCCTTTAGGGGACTGTCTATGCCCTTCACTAGAAGTCCTGTTTTAGCATGGCAACTACTGGATTCTTTTATTATGTATGCAGATGGCATGATGTTTTAGGAAAAACTTACAGCAATTCTCCAATCTCAGTGGATATGTTCACAATATTAAACCCCGATAGGAATGTAAACGTCTTGTATATGTTAGTTTTGCAGTCTAATGGTATTCTGTTAAACAATATTGGCACTCCATATGTGCTTTCTACACAGAACTAGCACAGTCCATATATATATATAATGGTCTTTTTTTTAAAATAATGAGGATACGTTCCAGTATTTGTGCTGAGACCGCATCCACACTGAAGTCCACTGCTAGCATACCTTCACCAATTCACAGTAGATTGTGTAGATAGATTTGCACGTGGCAGAGGTGTGACTTCTTTTATCGAGACTTAGAGAACAGCTGTCACAGGGTAGGTTGAATGAGCTGTAGGACACTGCGTCTGCTCTCCCTCTCATCCGCCAAATATCAGAGGTTCTTGTTTCTAGTGTGCCAATGTGTTTTCTTACTTGGCGAGGGAGAGGCAAGGGAGAGAGCCTTTCTCAAAGATGTATGTGACCCTGGGTTTGGTCTACGGTAAAACCAGAATATACTGGAAGAATTCAGGTTCTTTATGCTGGCCACCATTTATGTTTTGGGCAGGGCTGGGGAATCGTAGTCCAAACCAAACTCTCTGAACAAGGTAAAATGTAAGACTATACTTCTAAGGAGCAAGACACTCCCTTTGGAGAGGGCAGACTTCTTCATTAACTTTTTCCACTTTCTATTTTGGTAGGAACTGGGAATAAGCAAATGGTTCCAATAAGCCTTTCAATATACTGTAGCAGGCTCAAGACTGTTGCATTCAATCTGAACATTGTTTTTTGTTCAGTCTCTGAATGGCTGGCCTCATCACTGGTTGTATCACAGCTGGCTGTGGTACTGTTTCTTCCATGGGGACTCAGTGGAATTAGTGTCTATCCCTCACATCAGGACCTTCTTGACACACTCTTTATAATGAACTGATGCCATCAACATACTGAGGGGACTTACCTATTTGTTCCTTCTTTCTTTAAAATCAAAGGTAGCTTTTTTGTGTATTTATAGGCTATCACTCTCTCCAGTCTGATAGGTACTATAGGGTCACTGTTAGCATATATGTGGGTGAGACATCATACTGGTGTGAAAGTGCAGTGATGGAGAGAATGTGCAGCTACATCAAGTCAAAGGGACCTTTTTAGAGGAAGCTCCTGTGTTATAATTCTTAAAAACTATTGTACAGTTCATTGCTAGAGAATGGAAGGTCAGCCACTGAGGGTGCCCATACAACAAACAGGTAAATACCTTTAGGGCTTCATTTTTTTCAGATGCATATGGACTTGGGTTTCAGCTCTCCACCCATCTCAAATTCAGCATGTTGGATACTTCTGCAGTATTCAGTCCAAAAGCATATTATTTTTACTGATGACCAAGATTTTCAGAAGTCACTAGTGATTTCTAATGGTTTGGGTCTTTCCATGGGTTCTCAAATGGAGCTCCCAAGAATTACAAAGCAGTAAGCTTCTATGTTGTCTTTCTGAAAATCCTGGTCCCTAATTTTAAATCAATTGGTGTAAAAATTCTCCTTAAGACATAAGAATCTTTGCCAATGGCAACATTTGCACTTTTTAGAGCTTTTCATAAGGTTGCAGGTTGGAATCTGATACCAAGAGACCGGTCCATGCACATGGCACAGGTCCACTGTAAGCTTCAGCAAATTTTACAGCTCTTTCTGCTACAGGTTTTAAAAATACTCTCTGGCAACTGACATCAAGTTCATGTTGGTACAGCAATTAAAAAAACCCCACTTTGATATAAGTTATTTTAAAAAGGAGAATGCTATACTTCTGCAGTAGGAATTCTCTTATTTTACTACCCAGTGAAACAATCTGGAATAATTTGAATGATAAAAGAAGAGTTTATCAGAGAGTGATATCTTAAAAGGGCGTGTGAGAAGAAGTTGAGTTAGGCAGAGAGCCACTAGAAGCATTTTTTGTATCCGTGTTAGTTTTCAACATCTTCCAGTATATGGGCATGAATTTAGATGTGTGCACTTCTCCTGTTAAAACAGTTTGTTTTAAAAGCTTCCCAGGATTTTAGCTATGGTGACCTAGAAAAGCAGTGTTACAGGCCCTGAGAAATGTGAAAATCAAGTCCAGACCCTTGTGTAGCCAGACTCGGTGAGAAGTCTGCTGTAGGTGCCTATCGGACAAATCTCCTTTGAAGCTGGTGTAGGTCTCCAACCTATCGCCAGCCTGTGCATGTGGATAACTGCAAGCATAGTTCCCCTGAGCCCCGTGACACTTCTCACGTGTGTAACTGTCTGCCAGAGCCATAAGGAAATAACTGTACTTTTTGGCTTGTATTTAACTATTCATTGTGTTTGGATTTTTTAATCACTGTTATTCTCCCAAAGTAGGCCATGCTTCCTCAGGGATATTTATGAAATTGTTCTACATCTCCTGAACAACTATCTGGATTCCAGCATATTCTTCTGAAAACTTTTTAATATAAATAAACATGTGGGAGAGATTTTTGTTGTTATGAATGGGGGCAGGTACTGTGTTCTCGGAAAGGCTATTGAGTGCAGACAATCAAGTCTATTGCATTTTTTATGCTGAACACCTTATTAATAGCAGACACATCCGCTTTTGCCTGGGTCGCAGGAGCAGTTCAGGGGAAAGAATTCTTTATCTCTAGTCAATAAATCATTTATGTCGAGAGTGCCAAAGACCAAGTCAACATGAAAGGGAGCAAATAAGTTATTCCGGCAAAGGAAGTGGATTTAAATACACTCAGAGCCATTAGTTCAGTGCAGAAGAGTGGGAGACTAATGCTATTTTCATAAAACAGCAATTATCAGCCCTGTGAAGACAGATAAATTTGCAAAGGCCAGTGCTGCCGTTACACTGTTCACTAGATATTATCTCTGAAACAAAACAGAATTGCGATCAGGACAGTGTTCCCCATGTGCAGACCTGCAGCCTTCCTCCCGTACCCAGTGCCTCTCCCTGCTGCCGTGCTCACCTGGTTTCTTTGTGTTGAAAAAGGTTGCAGCATCAGACCCTGCTGAGAATCACTGACAGAAAGTCACCCATCCCAAGTGCTTCAAACCATGAGAAGCCCTGCACTAGAAATCTGAAGGAACTGGTCACCCTAGAAAACACACTGCAGCTGAAAGCATCCTTTGTGCTGTTTTCTTTGGGTTTTTTCATCTGCATGGCTTTCTGTGCCTGAACACCCACCATTAATTCTGTTAAGGGAAATGCAGCCTTCCAGGAGGACAGTTTGAAAAACCTCTTTGGTTTTGCACACCCAGCTGCATGGCGATGCTGTACCGGTGGGTTCGTCCCTCCCTTTCTGTTGCTTAGGATAAGTGTTATCATTGGACAGCAGCTACAGCATCATTGAGGAAATCAGACCATTAAAAATGACAAAATTCTGGTTTTGTTCTGCCCTGAACTTTCAGAAGACCCCAGGCCAGACCCCCGACAGACTTACATTGGCGGTACTCCATCAAAGTCTCTGGAGATGTGCTGATTAGTGCCAGCCATGGAGCCAGGCCTGGGGCGTTTTTTTGTCATCACTAAAACTAACCTCCCTCCACCCACCACAAAGCCACAAGATCTCAGTTATTCAAAATTTTCTCAGGCATGCAAAGTAAAACCCTGCATCATTCACATTGGTCCCCTTTTAACAATTAACATCTCTGCCATCAGAGTCTCCTTGAACGTCCCACTGCAGGACTATGCTGCAATTGACCCTGGTATATGTAGACTGTGGTCAATAAGATTTTAATTTAAAAAGAAAAGGTCCTCTGGTACAATTAAAATTGATGAGTGAAGGAGAAAGTACTACCAGCATTACCTGCAACCTCTTATAGCAAAATTCTGAAATTATCTGGAGTGCAAAAAACCCGACCAACATAATGATTAGGCAGGCTCATGAGGATAAATCAGCAAGTAAGAAAAGAAGATGTTTGATGAGGGAAGCCAAAAAATATATGGGAAGTCAGTGGCCAGTAGGTTAGGGCTGCTTAGACCAAAGGCCTTACATATATCCTAATAAACACCATCCTAGCAAAGCTAAGTCTGATGTTAGACAGGCACAGCACAGTGATTACTCATAGTACATGCAAAACCCAACAAATATTCTTGTTTTGTATTTGAAAGCAGTAGGAGGGAGTCGGATTGCACATTAAAATGTAATTCCTCCTACTCCATCAATAATTACGGGTAATATTAAGCAGCAACTATCCAAACATTTTTAAATTTGTAGAACCATTAACTGAATCCAAAAGTGAAGGAAAACTTGCCTAGGACTCCTCAGAACTGGAAAACATAAAAGAAGCTTCAAATGACACCAGAAACCCAGTAATTCAAAAGAATGAGTGATTTGACCCAGAAAACTATAGGCTCATTAGCTTCCTGTCAGTCTTGGGCAAAATCATGGAAGGGTTGATATGGCACAACCATTAAAGCAATTAAAAATTGACAAAACCTTCTAAATTATTTTTATAGAAATGTATCATGGCAAAAAAACTTGCTATCATTTCTTTGTGATATCAAAGGCTTGTTGATAAAAGAAACTGCTAGCATACTATACTTAGCCTCCTATAGATCATTTAATTCTGATAAAGAACAAAATAGCACAACACAAAATCAATATCACCCATATTAAGTGGATTAAAACTGATTACAGGCTAGATCACAAAAAATAGCTGCAAATATGAAATTATCATCAGCAAGACTATTTCTAATGAGCTCCTCCCAAAATCTGCTCTATTTTCAATATTCCTCCCAGGGAAAGAGGAAATTACTGTTGGCAACAGCCAGAGATGACAAAAACAGGGGCGTGGTAAATAATGATATGGAGCAGGTCAGTGGTAGAAGGTAACCTGGAGGACAGCAAAGTCAGAAATCCAGGAGACAAGGCAGTAAGTCCGACTTAGAGGCATGGGGATTATGTCTGGAATAATACAGTGGCTGGGAAGGTGTGATAAATAATATGTTCACCATCAGCCCTGGAGACGTTTTTGCCAGCTGGGATGTAGGACCTCGCAATAGTGATGCTGTTCCAGTTTGTTTGGTTACTGCCTGTCTTCCAAAAAGGGTATTGGCAACCTGGAAATATTATTTTCAAGAGTTCCCAGTGTCATTCAAGGGCAGGAAAACAGGTCTTATTATAGTGTCAGACTAATGAAGCTGAAGCTATTAATTTATCAGAGGCAATTTAAAGAGGTGACTTGATCTCTGTCTGCAATCACAATCTTCTACCTGGGCAGGGAAGTGCTGTCTGAAGGCAGGTAGCTCTTTTATTTAGTAGAAAAGGGAATGATGTGCTCTACTGGTTGGAAACTGATTTCAGGCTAGAAATTAAGTGCAAATGCTCGACAGGGAGGATAATTACCTGTGGAGACAACTTACTTAGTTACCTGGCATGTTCTCCATCACATAAAGTCTTTAAATGTATGCAGAGTATTTTTCTAAGTCAATAAGCTCTACCTCAAACTGAAATCCAGGCTCAGTGCAGCAATTACTGGATGCGGTTATTAGGTGTGTGTTATGCAAGGATTAGACTAGATCATCAGATATAAACTTCTGAATTAAAAATATCTTAAAGTTTCCAATATTACAGCAAGGCATGGCAACCTATATCCATTTTTTCACACAAAGTAGGTCTTAATTTAAACAGCTTATATGAACAGAGCTATACTTGCTAGCATTTGGTATGAGCATCAGTAGGTCTGCTCACAGTTGTTCTGCACATAATTAAAGCAGAGAACTGGACTAGAAATGACAACAAAAACCCTTGGACATACAGAGAAAGTCTGTTGTCTTTCATTAATAACAGCCTGGGACAAAATTTTGCACTTAAATGATGGGGCCAAGTGGCTGTGTAGTCCAAGCGAGGAATGACAACTCTGGTTTGCCTCTTAAGTAAGAAGGTAGCACCTTGCTGGCAAGAAACACATTTTCCTGCCTTCAACAACTGGCAGAGAAGCTGTGGTGCTGATTGAGAGTTATATTGTATTGCTGTGCAGCTGAACACAGTACACGAGTTCCTTGCTTCAAAGACAGCAAACTGTTCCTGCTATCATGATGAGCCCCATCAGAGGCGGTTAATAAACCCTAGAAATGAAATGACTTCAGTGGGACTACCCAGAGTAATGACAGCTGCTCCCAGCAGTGGATTTTTGCAAGATTGGGCCCTATTACCATTGCCTCGTTTGAATGTTGTATGTTAGAAACAAGCAAAGGAGCCCTCAGTGTCTGATTCAGGTTTCACAAAATCGCTGTTGATAGGTGCGAGGGAAGTGTGAACTGTCAGCACCACCTTCTACTGGGCTTCACTGGGCAGTGGGGAGCAGCACGAACTAGGCTGTGTGGTTTAAAGAGTAAACAGTTCACGCAAAAAAGAGAAACTATAAAAGCAATACTTACTGTAAATTGGTATTGAATCGACATCAAGCTGAGATGAGAAGGGAGCTAGCTACAGCCATAGCTAAGAAGATAAAGATCTTTGGGGATTCTTGCTCTAATCCAGTGTGAAATCCTAAGAAAATGAGTTTGGTCTAGATTTATTGTTTAAAAAACATCAGTACAAGCCAGCCGCCTGTCAAATAAATTCTGCAGAGTCACTGGCTTCAGTATGTGATGGCTTACAGTGTCCTCACACTGCTGAGACACCTTGCACCTCTGGAGGAGAGCAGTCCTTAACAGGCATCTCTGGGGTCGGGCTGGATGGAGAAGCAGCTGATCTTGCAGATGACCGTATAACTAACATCTGCTTATAACCCGCCATACAGGCAGGGTTGCCAGCACTATTACACCACTTTCAGGCTTATTCTGACAATGAAATGAAAAGCTCTTTTCTGATTTTAATTCCAAATATATTTAAATACTTTCTCAGAAAAAAAAAAATCCTCTGTAGCTGTTACATCTCTAATCACATTACTTCTATTAAGCACTTGCCTTGAAATCATCTATTTAATATCAGAAGTCACCAAATTATATAGTGATACACAGGGATTTTTTAAAGCAGAGACATCGATATTGCAGCAAAACTGCACGTAAGCAATAAGAAGCCATGCAGGGAGGAAAAAAACCCACAGTCTGCCCCATCAGGTGTTATGGGGACTTGTTTGTTTTGTTTTTTTTATTGAGAGCATGGTTTTACACCTGGACATGTTTTCCCTACTGATCCAGGCTCTGGTCTCAAGACCAGTCCAGATAAAGAAATGTTTCATCTACATCCCTTGTATGCAAGAGGCTCCTTCTCTGCTTTTCTTCTGAGACAGTAGAAGAGAGATTAAGTGGCAACAGAGAAAGCACACAGGGACACGAGCTTCCAGCCTATGCAAAACATCTCATCGTGAGACCCAGCTCTCAGCCTGCTTCGCCTGAGTCCAACGCCACTGACCGAGGAGAGGGATGAGGCTGTGCTGGGCTAACCCGCCAGTGAAGCCCTGTGTCCTGGGCTGCTGAAGCTGCTGCGGGAGACACATTACCTTGCAGAATCAGACCCCGTGTTTCAGGGCATCAGCTACAGTTATTGCTGTCTGCTGGGCTTCCCCTAAAATACAGATGAACTGGACGGGGCAGAGCTCTGGCTATGGGAATGCCCAACATTTCCCCAGGGAGGCTGTGTGCTCTGAGGAGAAGACTCCTTTGCTTTGCACTTAGCTGCTTGGCAAGCCTAAGAGACATATTTTGAACTTTCTCACAGTTATTGCAGAATCGGAAAGTGGCATGGACATGCTTTGGGACATGCTGGGCTTTGCTTTCAGTTTCTTGTAGGGACTGTAGCTATCTGGATTTGCCTTGCAATTATTATTTCTTTCTCACAAGTGGGGGTAAGGTAGGAGTAATGCCTGCCTGGCTCTGCACAGTGTAAACAGGCAAAGGGGGCTCTAAAGTTGGTCTCCTCTCTTTCTGGGAGTTGAATTTAAGGTTGATTGAACTGACTTTGGGGAGAGCAGATAACTGTCAGCTAGAATTACAGTCACACCTGAGTTGTCTCCAAAGGCCGCCCCCAAATCAGCAGCCCATGGACAGAATCAGATGCCAGGCTGTGCGTGCACATCGGCGCTGGCAGCTGATGATGTGCGTGAGCTGCAGGGAGCGAGAGGGAGGCTGGGATCAAGGTCCTGGGAGATCTGGTGGCCTGATGCAGGAGAGCTGCTCACAGAAAGGCTGAATGCAAGCCCGTGGCTGTGCTGTGTGGTCAAAACGGTCTCCTGAAGCCAGCAAGTTGTGTCTGGTCTACCTGCCTTTGGAGTCAGTTCTGGTTTACATTCACTAAGGAAAAAACTCTAAACCACTGATCTCCTTTTAATGTTAACTTGGTTGAAAATCTAGGAAAATGCTAGCACTCTTAATGGTTAAAAAATGACACACTGTTACTCTCAGTCCATCTACGGCTGAACTTTTTAAAGATGGAGCCAAATGAGATGGCATAAGACAAAAGTGTGCCTTTGTGTTTGATGTACACTGCATTTCCCCAGGCATCCAAGGTGTTCATCTGTACAGCAGTGCTTTTTTTCCCAAAACAGAAATTACAACGCAATCTAATTTTTAATATACAAAGTGGCCATCACTGTTAATTCCACTCTACAGTTTTTATATTTACTCTTTAATTCCTTCTGTTTTCAAAAATCAACAACAAAAAAACAACCCAGGTGGGAGGGAGCAATTCTTTTAAATGATTAAATTAAAATCATTATCAAATTTTTGGTATCTTTGGGCATGATCTCTGGAAGCTTTGGATATCTGCTTTATCATTTTGTATATTTGACAATTTTGTACTCTGCATTGTTTGACTTCATTTGTGCATGGCGATGTATTAAAACATGGAATTTTTATTATACAGTAAAAGTATTTTGTTTGATTTAAACAAGGTCAGGGCTTGATACACAGCACAAACAGGAGAAGAAAAAAATCTCAGAAGTTTTTGCCAGCAACCACTCACACTTGACACGCTGACAGGTCTCATTCAGGGGGTTTCCAGCACCTGAAGCTGGGCAGAGCTTTTCACTGGCCGACTCATGTCCTTCCCCAGCTGTGGTACTTCAGGTCTGTGCAGCGGTTTGCTGTACAGGGTGCAGGTGCTATGTAAACGCAACATATTTGTAGATGTAACAGAAGGTGTTAATTGAGCCGAGGTCCATGTTCTGCTCAGCAGGGTTTGAGTGTAAATCCAGACCGACTGCGCTGACTCAGCTCAATTTAGCCCAAATTTAGTGTGGAGCGACTGCAAGCAGACACTGCGCACTACAAGGAAGTATTCTGCTTTCGTTGCCTTTATTTCTCACAACTTGGGGGATGGCCCTGTAAGCAGTGAAGCATCTTCTAAGGGGACCAAACCACAAAAGGAGCAGGTACTAGACTGTTCACTCCCATGCCACCCCCCATTTATTCTCAGCATTTATGTCATGAGAGTAATTTAAAAGCCAGTGGATGAGATAGTTTTCAGAAAGCTAATGCTGAAATTCCAGCATGATACTATGTTCTCCCATATATGTGTGGTTTTTACTTTTCAGCCATAATTCTGAATGTTCTCACATTGGTAAGGTAGAGACTGATGACATGTTTTGGTCAAATACAAAATATTGGGCTTAATACAAAATAATAGAATTAAATTATATAGCGTGCAGTATAACTGACAAAATCAAGATAAATTGTCATCTAAAAAAACCCACAAATCATGTTTTTTATTGTAACATCTCATGATGGGGCTGCAATTTACTAAATTCTGTTTATATCTTTAAACAGCTTTCTACTCCAAAAACTTTGTCAGAGAGAAAAATATGTTAGCAGGGAAAGTTCAGTTTTTCTACAGGTTTATGCACATTACATCTTGGGCTGGAGGAAATTAGAAGAATCATACAAGTAAAGAAAACAGTTTTTATGTCACATATCCTTTTCACCATCAGGGTCTCCACAGGGTTTATAGTGGCTCCATATTATTACTACTCTGGGTGCTGCACACTAAGATGATTTCCATTATAAACAATATGCCATCTAAATAAGATCTGCTTTATAATGAAACAGCAGCTACCATGATAATGAAATACTCCTCCCTGGAGACAGAGAAAATAGCTACCAATGCTGTGGAACAAGGAGTTTCCACGTGTGCTCGTATGGGGTTTGCGCTATAAATCTCAGCGATGGGGTTGCAGGTTCTTCATTCACAGTTTGTTACTCAGAAGTCATCAGTGGAGCAACCAGTGTGTAATTTGGTTTTTGGTTGTTTTCCTTCTACTGACAATTAGTCCTTGATGCAACTTGCATGATCTTATGTTATATCCCTGTACATCCGTGGGTCCATCAGAGCTTACCTTGCCCCGCACAGCTATCGTGGGTTACAGGACCAGGTCATGATGCTTAGACTCTTGGGCTCCAATGCCATGTACAAAAAATTGGATTCCTCAACTGAGACCTTATTAAATGAGCAGATCCGTGCTCATTTGAGCAAAGCCTCGTGATGTGAGCAAATGTCCTTATTCCATCATGAAGTCCAGTGAATTAAGTACAACCCTAGAAACACAAGGAATATTCCCAATTTCACTGTTGACCCACTGTATGTTGGCGAACAAGTTTCTTCATGTCATCTCTTCATATCCCACCTCCATATCTGTAAAACGAAAACTTCATTTACCTGTCACTGTTAAACCTTGAAACTCAACAGTGAAACTGTAAGTCTTCCAAGAAGATAGTGTTGGAAGTGGGATTGATTTGAACAGACCAGGCATCTTGGTACAAAAGAAGCATTTTATTTGGGAGACAAGATGTTGTGCTGTCCGCAGTTCACGCTTATCTGACGTTCCGCTCTCGCTGCACCCAGGCGACGATCTGTCAGAGTCTCAGTGCACAGCATGACACTTTCACGGGTGAGTGTTGTATCAGCCCGGACTCAGTTTGTCTGAGGTTTATTCCTCTTTTGTGCATTCCTTCGTCTCATTCATGTCACTGTCTTGTCATTGCCTTCTCCTTGCTTTTCTGCACCTGATGTGATTTCTTGCCTTCTACTGTCATTAACATCATGTAGGAAATACACTGAATTACTGCACATGAGAAACACACTTCCAATTCTTTAAATGGCACCAAGACACTGGACTTAGGAGGAGATAAAGCAGAGGACAAATTGCTACAGGTTTATTCTAGGGCAACGTGGGGATTAACTTCTTCTTCACCTCTGTGTTGGAGTGACAGGCTGAAATGGCAGCAAGAAGGATGCACACTGGACACCAGGAAAAGCTTTCTAGGAACAGGGATGCTGAAGCAGTAGCGACTGCTTAAAGAGATGAAGAACAGCTTTGACATCCATCAGCAGTCCTGACCCTTTGGTAGGGCAGGAGGATGGACCAAGTTAACTACCAAAATCTCTTTCAGTCCAATTTTTCCGCAGGTAAGACCTGAATGGGAAGCAAAGTGTTAAGTGTGTTAATTATCGTTATTTTACATTTCAGCTGCAACTGAATTTAGCTCTCTTTTTCTACCTCTTTGAGGTAAAAACCTGCTACTATGTAGCTGTGAGTAATTACAGACTCATTTAAGTCCATACATCAGGCTGTCAGCTGAGAAACTGGGACACGTCCACTGCCACGACCGGTCCAGGCGCAGAGGCAGAGCCAGCGTGACAGCAGGGACCAGGCCCACCTTCTCACCCCAAATCACCACACTTATCAAGAGTCCAAGTTCTGTGCTATACAGCACAAATAGCAGCAACTAATGAGACAAAGAACACAAAACAGGTAGCACCCTTTAGGGTCAATGTGAGGATCACACTTCAGCCCACCTCCACCTTCCAGTCTTTCATCTGATCCTTACTGAGCACCATCAGGGTATTAGGGCTAGATGGAGAAAAGCCTCAGAATAAGAGAGGGGTTTTTTTTTTTTTAAAAAAAAAAAAAAAAAGAAGAAGAAGAAAAAAATGTTTTACAAGCTACAGAGAGGCAACATTTTATAGCCAGCTGGCCAAAGCCCTGAGAGCTTCAGCCATCCATTGCAAAGGGCAGGCGGAGAGGGTGTGTGTGGTCATCTCCAGCCTCCACCAAAAGCTGTAGGCTGATTAGGAAAAATGCTTTTCCTTCACTGGGGAGTTCTACTGCAGAGAAATGAAGCACTCCAGGGCACATCTTAAGTCTCAGCTTGAACACTCTGCTCTGGCACTTTCCAGGACGAGATGGGAGAGTGCGGTCGGTGCTGAGCGCCGGATGCTCAGCCCGAGGGGTGCATCGGCTCTCCTCCATGCTGCGAAATGGGACGGAGACACAGACTACGTGGGAGGCAAATTGTTTTATGGAAAATATTGGGAACCATTGTACTAAGCTGATTAACTCATTTTAACAATTTTATTTAGCTGCAGAAGTTGCCCCACATGCAAAGTGCAGCTGCAAGCATTTGCACAACGGAAATGCTCCCACATGCAGGAAAGCCAGATAAGCCCCTGCCTGTCATCATTACAGCAAGAAATTTTAGTACTTTGGGGAAAATGCATGGTTATTTCTGCCTTTGTTTAAGCTTTAACTTTGAGCATGGAAGATACTGTTATGTTAACTGGTTTTGTACATGTCCCTCGTGTCTCACACTCAGCCTCATTTTGGCAGTTCTTGGGAGGTAAAACTCCATCAGAAATATGAGGAATCGCGGGAGCCTGGGGCCCCCACTGCCTGATTCCACCTGGTGACAACTGCTGCTCGTTTTACGCCGGGGAAGGAGTCCTTCTCCCACCCCCCCGCCTCCACTCCCCTGAGTTGTATAATAGTAGGGAAATTAGCCTTTCTTCATATTTTCCCTCTTTCTCTGTGTTATTAGTCCTATAACAGGCTACCTCTTAATCCCAAAATACAGACCTTTTGGACAGCGTTCTGCTAATCCCATGAGGGATGTGTCAACCAAGAGGAAAATCAAGATTGGACCAAGGACCACCCTCATCCTTCAGTGTTTCTCTTGGGTCACCAGTCACACACCCTTCCCTGTTAAACTTAAATTAAAACCACTCTAAAAGTAGTGTGGTTTCAAGCACTAGCAGCAGGGCATTTATATGGGATTTTCAGATTGACACTTCTCCACAGGCCAGTTTGGGACCCCCTGAGTGTAGGATATTGTCTCAAAATATTCCCCGAAATCCATCAAGAGGCATTGGTATCCAAGCACAAAAATAACAGCTCTACCGTCTCTGAAAGGCTTTTAAAAGCTTTAAACCACTTTTACCCTCTCTGGTTGTTCTGGAGCTCATGGCTGATCCTTTTGCTCCAATTTCCTTTGCTTCTCATTATAGGCTGGGAAAAACAGCAAACCTTCATCAGAAACAGGAGTTGGGGTAGCTGCACTTTCATGTGCTCCTGGCCGAGGCAGAGCTGCCTGGGTTACAACGTGGTGAAACAGAAAATGCAGACATGCATCTCCATGGAACTATGTACTTAGGAAGTGTCTGAGCGATTCTGGGGGTTATGTTCTGCCATTTGTTTTGTTTTGAATGGTAGCACTGTAAAAAATCAATACGGCACATTTTAAATGGATTATGAGGCAGTTAAATGGCAGGTCTCTGAAGAGGAGTTGCAAATGAAGAGTGATCCCATGGGAGTTTTTATAGAGGGAATATTCAAGAAGTTGTTCTTGGCTGTTTACTTTAGAGGTCACGATGGATAAACAATTGAGTAGGAGTTCAACATGTGATGCTCTTGCTAAAGGGGCTAATAGGACCCTAGGATGTATAAATGGGAATATTGAGTGGTAGGGGAAATGTATTAGCTCTGTACCTGACATTAATAAGACAAAAATAGTCCAGTTCAGCTGTCAACGCTTAAAAATCATGTTGAAAAACTGAGAAAGGTTGGGAGAAGTGCTATAAGACTGATTGAAAGCATATC